GATAGATAGATAGATAGATAGATAGATAGATAGATAGATAGATAGATAGATAGATAGATAGATAGATAGATAGATAGATAGATAGATAGATACCTTTATGATGATCTAAAGAGTGACCAGAACTCAGTTTTTTTTCTCAAAGCACCTCGAGGTTGTGGTGCAAAAGGAGATTTTGATCATGCAAGTAAAGATCTGCAGCACATGTGTGAAGCTATGATGCCAATATCAACAAAAATCTCTGAGCAATGTTTCAAGCACTTTGTGGAGAGAGTTTAAGGCAGTTCTGAGTGTAGAGGCCGACAAGTCTTGGCCAGTAGGTGTTTGTGCAATTCACATTTTTTAATATTATGGTTCACACCATGATGCTCTTTGGTTATAGCCCAGAAATGACAATGCTAATATGTAGTAAATAGAAGGTACGAAATAAATACTTACTGGGGAACTATGTAACCAGCTTTAAATCAATTATCAGTGATGTGACTGTTAATGCATAAAGAACATGCTTTTTGCCTATAAAAAACATGCAGAATGATAGTTTTCTCTGTTTAGCAATAAAAAAGCAACAGTTACATTTAGTTAAAAGCAAGCAAAAAAGTATTAAATGTCTGTCAGCAATTACACCGTCTGCCATATATTTTATACAACTATGTTTTGTAATAATGTCATATTGCTGTTTTTGTCTGTGAAAATATTAACCATGCTTAATATGCTTACTTGTACACTTCACTCTCTCTCTCCAGATCCTTCCAGCTGATGAGATGCTGAGGAACTTTCTTAATAGCAGCCCAGGTATCATTGTACTTCTCCTTGTACACTTTCCCAAAACAGCCCTCTGCAAGGGTGCTGGTGGAGTACGCCATCTAGGAGACGCTGTGAGAGCCTTAGAGTGAGGGGAGGGTCATTTTACTCACAAAACAAAGAATGATAGAATTGATAACAAGGACATAATAGAAATAGAGTTTCTGTAGTATATTCAGGTTTGGTGACAACTACAATGTTTAGTTATATGATATAAGCGTGAGTAATTGTAATACAAGCCAGTAAATATTTATGTTTGGTGGAGAACGATTGTGAGTAATACCCTGTACTTTCAGTGCTTTTGATGATCTTGAAATCACTCTGTTCTGTTTCTGGTACTAGCTGCTGTGACTTTTGGTACTTTCCACTTTAGACATTGATAAAACAACAATTCAGTAAAGCAATTCAGGACAGCAAGGTTATTTTAAGGACTATAAAATATGACTTATTATTATTAAATATGACTAATATGCTTCTTAAACCACATTGTGAGTATCCTTAATGATCAAGATTAAATATAAAATATTAGTAGCTAACATAGCAGTAACTATCTAGAGATATTGCTTGATAAATAAAAGTAAAAGTAAAAAGCAAATAAACTCAGGTCATTTAAACAGCACTGACTATATTTATGTTTAGCGTATTGCCATTTTAACTTACAGCAAATAAAATGTGTTTACCTTTTTCAGATCTCACTGAGATATCGAACGTAATCACAAACAAACTGAGACTGAAAAACTGCTCTCACTCACCTTTCAACCTAACATTCATTGGTGTCAGCAGACTGTCAGACATAAACTTCAGTTTAAAAAAATATTCCCTGGAAGGGCGTTACCACTCTTGAGTAATACCGTAGATTCCTTACCGGAAAATTCTTAAGAAGAATGAAAATGTTCCACAGACTGATAATCTCACTGAACTACCATTTTGTTTCCCTCAAATAATAATTTATTTATTTAATTAGAAATACAGTTTGGGCAGTGAGCACCTGAATAGTAAAGTTCAGGCAGGCTGTTCTCAGTAACTCAGCTGTAACTGAAGCTGTTGTATAAATAAAGACACCAGGACCCTGATCTACAACCACACTTATCATTTCAAATATTCTGACAGCAGAGTGACTTGATGTCAGGATTATAGAACAGGTTTTCAAAGAGACAGAGAGCTGTGTAGTCAAAACAGGAAGGAAATGTTGACAGACTGGTCAGTTCACAAGAGAAGAGATTGAAGAAGGCAGTTTTTAACTTTCAAAATAGTCCTTATTATCAAGAACATTTGCAGTCACAGTATCTGAATGACTAAAGTTGATCACAGTATAGCAAATCATTTTCACTTAAGACAAACTCAAGGTTTTACAAACATACATGAGAAGCTCCTCAGGAAACACACTTTTCAATTACTTAATTGTACTTAAATTTAAAACCACTCAAAGGTAAAATATATATAATCTTTGATCCTTTTTGTTCTTGAATCTCTAAACCACAAAAGATTCTCTTCCTACCTTTATGCTGTTGAGGGAACACAGCTCTGTCAGGTCTGAACACGAGTTGACATCGTTATCGCTCTTCAAACCTGTTCCACACCTTCCTGAATCTGATTCATGGCCCCAAGCAAAGCCAGTCCTATCCTGTAGCACACTAATTACAAGTGAAGAAAGAAGCACAGCGTAAATACAAATGCAGGTATGAGATAATGTTTGGTAAACAGGACACGTGCTGTCACAGTGGGAGAGAAGACAGAGCCAGAGACCAGAGTTTTAACATTTGGATGACCGTGTGAAAAACAAAATAGCAGCAACATCCATAATAAATATAACAGCAGTGCTAGTGGTTATATGTATACATATACATGTGTACATCTAAAAATGCTAAAATGAAAAAGAAGGGATGATGAAATATGCAGATATGTCCTTATGCAAATTATTAACTGGTACAATTACCTACCAAAATACTTAAATTACCATCAGCCTTAGCTGTCTTGTGCGTTAGACTGAAACTGCTGAATACAAGCTGAGCCAATGTGAGCACAAAAGCACGCTAGTGTTAGCAGGTTTTGAACTATTATTAGGTTTTTAACAAAACTATGAATGAACATATGGAATTATCTAGTAAACAAAAAAGTGTGAAATTACTCAAAACATGTTTTATTCTTCAAAATAGCCACCCTTTGCTTTGATTACTGCTTTGCACACTCTTGGCATTCTCCCAATAAGCTTCATGAGGTATCTAATAAAACAGAAAATGGTTTTCCAATAGTCTTGAAGCACCCTGCCTCCCCCCCCCAATCATAACAAGGATAAGCACAAGAGAATGTATGCATGGGTGGATGGATGGATATCTTTTCTATAATTCCATATACCTTGCTTCATGTATTTGATATCTTTAGTATGCATCTACAATGTAGAAAGTAGGGATGGACCGATCAGATTTTACGTATCGGTATCGGTCCGATAATGACCTAAATTACTGGATCGGATATTGGAGAGAAATAAAACATGTAATCCGATTAATTAAATATCAGGAAAGCACCTCACAAAACTTGTGACATGGCGTAACTCAGCTCATAACCGTAGCACGTCGGAGCAGTATGCGTCACGTGATAGAGTGGCTGTGGCGTGCGGTCAGCGGTCTGGTTGAGCACTTGGAGCCTCGCTACGTGCTTCCAAACCGGCATTTCATCTCCGAGATAGCTATCCCTGAGAAGTAAAGCAAGTGTGTAAGTTCATCTCTGAATGTTTGTAAAGCATTTCCATGTTAAGCTTAACAACCGATATATGGAGCGACTGCCTCTCTCTCTCCTGCTGCTACTTCAGTCATGAAAATGATCAATGATCGGCTTTTCTGTCACAAGTCCGTCTCTCTTGTTTGTTTATTGCCCACTTTGCACCACAAAGAGGAAACAAAACGACTGCAGCAGATGCCACGAGAGAAAGCGGGCGAGCGAAAGAAAGAAAGAAAGAAAGAAAGAAAGAAAGAAAGAAAGAAAGAAAGAAAGAAAGAAAGAAAGAAAGAAAGAAAGAAAGAAAGAAAGAAAG